TAGACCAATTATCTTGCTATGTAATTAAGCCTAAGTTTTATTATGTAATTATTAGAAGAAAAAGAATTTATTACCTAAGACCCTAAGAGAAATCCTCACAAAAATCATATGAAAAAATCAACCTACAAAAGACAAGAGTTCTAGTGCAAATAATAATAATAATAATAATAATAATAATAATAAATATACCAAGTAAATGAAGAAATGATTAAATATAATGTTCGATACGACAACTGACACTTAATACAAGTGTCACTTAATAAAAGCCATGGAATATAAAAAGTAATGGTGGCTAGACTCCATTAGTAATAGCCTAGATTTTTAGATCTATGAATGACACAATTATTTTTACAAAGTAAAATGATCATCCATCAAAAAGGCTTCCAAAAGAAAGAAATCTCCTAATTGGAGAAGATATTTCCTTACTTTTGGTTTCTTTATCCTTGGATAAATAAAGCACTTCTACAAAGATTTTCATAGCTCTTATTTGAATTAAATTTTAAAATAAAAAGGATCTAAACTTCCTACATGGTTAGTATGAAAAGCAACATAATCATATTTATCACTTATCATATGACACATTTGCTCATATAAGCAATCCTGTAGATAGGCTATGATTTTAATAATTATGGGGATAGATAATTATAAGCTCATGTAGAAAATTTAATTAGTTTTAAATTTAATATTTTTAGCCCTCTTTATGGCCATGCATAAGCATAGTCACCTATATTAAATTGGGTTAAAAAAATGAACCTCCAATTTTTTTCATACATCAGGGCACTCTAATACTCCCATCATTGATAGGAAAACAACATCACAAGAATATAAAACATCCAGCAACAATAATCAACAATACATATCTATCATGATAGAAATAAATTTCTTAATACATAGAGGTATAAAAATAAAAAATAAACAATAAATAAGATAACACCGACATAACATATAGCTAGAATCATTTTACCTAACAATCTAATCCATCTATAGTGTGTGCTCGGTCTATGTGTTTTTTGGAGCCTATTAGGTTTTGGGGTTTCATTTTCTAATTGTGAATTGTTGGTTACAAGTATAAAGGGAATTTTAGTTAATTTTTAAACTAAATGTATTAGATCTTTCATCATAATTTTTTTTTATTGATGTTGATGAGAGTTAGGTTATCAAGAATATGTTAGTCCATGTTTTTAAAGTGTTATGAACCCATAGATAACCATATCATAGGCTCCTAAAAGGATGAGACTAATGAATAAAAGTTTATTAAATTATTAATGAGTTACAATTATTTAAATGTATGTATTATGGCATAGTTTCATTTGTGGATCAAGTTTAATGTTAATTAACCTATATCATCTATGAGCACAATCATAAATTGATCCGGATTTTACCTGAATATTATGTTCATTGGATCCACAAAAATTGTAGGTGCATTAGTCCCCTAAAAGGCATGACTAAGAACTCATAATTTGTGTTTCAACTACAGAAGGAAATCTTCACTACATCTTCCTCTCTCACATTTATTTGATAATATCAAAATCTCATATCAATCTTGAAAAACATAGAAGCTCCCACAAGCTGATCAAATAAATCATTATTCATTAATAGATGATACTTGCTCTTGATTATTATAATATTCAATTCCTTATAATCGATGCTCATATGGATAGTATTAACCTTCTTCTTCACTAATAGAATAGGTGTTCCTCACGAAGATACACTAAGAGGAAAAAAAATTTGATTGACCAACTCCTGAAGCTGCACCTTTGACTTCTAAAGTTTCTTAGGTGTTATCCTATACGTAGCCTTAGATATCAAAGTAGTGTCAAGAAATAGATCAATGCATAGTTCAATATATCTATTAGGTGGCAAAGTCGTCAACTACTTGAAAAAGGCATTAGGAATTTCTCGCACTACCAGGACATTAGATAGAGATCATGATTCCATGCTCCTATCACAACATATGCCAAAAATACCATACCCCCTTTCCCTGATAATTTATCCACTTGAGTATATATATATATATATATTTCTTATTTCTCTACGATTGCCTTATGTGCTAACATTTCAGGTCCACAAGATCAGACTGCAATTGGAACCAGCTCAAGATTGAGTAGATTTGGTCTGAGTAAGTTTGTACTTTTTCCCTTTCTTGAGTCTATTGTAATTGGTGTGGCTCCTGATGCTAAGTAACTTTACACACACACCTTGAAACAATTTCTAACTATTCATTAGAGTTAACTATTTTTTGGTAACATCATCCGGGATAATATTTATATCGGCCTAGACGATCGATTCAAAAATAGAAACCCTAATCAAGGCATCCTCATTGAGGCAGCCGTCATTAAGCCGATTGGCATGGATGATCCTTGTATCAGCTAGGACGATAGGCTCAAATCAGAAAGAATCAGTCGCCATGATCAATTTAGGTATTCTTATTTAAGGACATTATATAGGATGATATCCACATCAGCCTGGACGATGCAGCACAATTATGCATAAATTAATCTGGTAATTAAGGAAAGGGATTAAGGCTGATTGCACGATCACATTGGTTGGGCTGATCGTAAGATCGGCCAGGATGATGTCCTGGACGATTGACATCGGCGAAACTTTATTCAGGGTGATGTTCAGGATGATTTGTGCTCGGATTTGAACTAATCGGCTAGGATGATATGTTATCGTCTAGGATAATGTGACCAAATTTACTCTATTCATCCCAAACTGATCAGGCAGATTGAGAGAAATTTACTCTGATCGGCCAGGCCGATATACCTATCGGCCTGGACGATAAAGTCGGCAAGTTGCATTAATGAGCTCATTTTGAGATATTCTATTTAAGCTTTGACAAGACACTTGGTAAGTGTCTTTGGCAGCCATTGTAGCTTCGTTCTTTTGGGGGAAACTTGAAGAGAGAGCTTGAAAGAGAGTGAGGAAAGGGTGGAGTTTGAGAGAGAGAGAAGATCCTTGGAGGGGGACTCAAGAGAGTGTGGAGTGGTATTCCACACAGTTGCTCCGACGAGCTTACACCTTAGTACTGTCGGATTCAAGGCTTGTCTTGAGAGAAGTTCACAGAAGAAGAAGATCTATTTGGTGTCAAAGGACCCGGCTACTCTGCCGCACCGGGGAAGGTGGAAGTGATTTTGTAAGGGCTTCTCCGCCTAGCTGTGGGGGCTAAAGGAGAGATACTTAGTTTAGTGCAATACTCGAAGGGTGCCTCCGAGGAGTGGACATAAGTCAAGGTTTGACCGAACCACTACAAATATGGTGTTCTTTTTCTACTGCTTCCGCATTTAATTTTCCACACTTTGATTTTCATTGTGGTGATTTTGGTTTGAGTTTTGTTCTTTTCTTTAAAGAAATTTTAAAATACCAATTCACCCCCTCTTGATTAGCCTTGGGCCGGTTCATAGGGCTTAGCATCCCTAACAAAATTTCAATAATAAATAAAAAAGGTAATATAATAGAAGGCAATATAGTAAATATAAAAGTATCTCTTATAAATAAATAACTATATATATCCATAATCAAATAATATATGATAAGAAAGATTAAAAATATAATCCATAATTGTAACCACATCCAGAGCATCTCTGGCATCATATTGAGTCAAATTGAATACACATGCCTAAACTAAAACTAGAACAATAAAATTACTAGGCTCCCTAGCTCTATCCACTCCCTGACTATCTCTCTTCTATTAAACTAGAACCACTAACTCTAGTAGATAAGCCCAAGGTAAACACATAAGGTGCAACTATCATTGATCTCCCTACCAGCCTAATATAGCTCTCAACCCTAGGATCAATATGTTAACTAAGTCAAGCTTGTAGGCTATTAGCTACCTTATATTTTATGTAACAACTCTAAAAATACTATTGTATCATATTGTAATACTAACCAAAGTGCCTCCTACCATAACTCTGGTACACAGGTGCCTTACTAACAAAACCTCTCAAGTGTTTCTAACACTATTAATAACAGCTAACATGTACAATCAACTACTGCTTGAATCTCCAACCTCAAACCTAATCTTCTTTCAAAAAAAAAAAAAAAAAAAAAAAATCACTATTAGAAGCCTCACTACAAAACTCTTCTTACTAGAATCCAATAGGTTATCTTCACTAGATCAAGTTAGAATAAGTGTAACTATGCATAAGATAGAGTAAGTGTTACATTTGCTGAGCACGTAATGCTATTTTAGAATAACAGTGCTAAGTTAAAGTTCATTATGGTGATTTCATAAACACTATAGTAGTGGTCCCCTCGAGCGTCACAACACTAACACATGTTAAACACTGCGGCATTAACTAGTCAAAAAGCCTATGATTTTCATTTCTTAGGCATAGTGCAAAAAACTTCTAATTGTATAAGTATTTCTTAAAAAGCATTTCATATATATTATTTTATATTTTTATAATAAATTCTTTTAAAAATATAGCATAAATATGTATATTAAAACCTAGTTCTTTAAAAATTTTCTCCCATATATCCCTCAAAATCATGTCTTGCAACTCAATTTGTCTTAGGCTTCGTTTGGGACGGCTTTTTTATTGCTTTCTAAAACAGAGTTTTAGTACAAAATTAATCGAGTTTTGTGTATACGATGTGTGTTTGAATATGTCTTAATTAGTCTAAATATATATAAAAAAATCATTTAAAAAAATCATATTCAATTAATTATTATTATTATTTTGAACATTTATGTCATTTAAAAAAAATTCAAACACATAACGCATACACAAAAACTCGAACCCTTTAATTGAAAGCCTAAGCTCTTAACTAGCAGACCAAAATGAGTTATTCTAATAAATTATTAATATGATTGACGAGAAGGATTCCGATCAGGGCCCGCGGATCGATAAAGATCGGACAAAATTATGACCCGCCACAGACCCGCGCTCGGTCAGCCAAGCCAATAGTTGTCAAGCATTTCCCGCCACCGTAGCACTAATATATATGCTTCACGAATAAAGCGAAAATTATATTGTGTACTGAAAATCCGGTAAGCCAATGGCAGTTATAAAACATCTTCTTCCCAAAATGACCTCCCTCTCATTACATTTCTCCTTCTTCCTCTTCTCCACGCTTCTCCTCATGTCAGTCATTCCCCCCCGCGCCGCCGCCTCCTACAGCTGTACCGTCGATGATCGAACGTATTCTACAACCCCTCTAGTCTCCTTCCTCCAACGTCTCCAATCCGAAGCTCTCAAAACTTTAGGCCCCAGTTCCTTCGACCCCAAGTTCTACGTTGACCTCCCTCTCAAGAAAGACCTCAGCTTAACGGAAGCTGCCTTCTGGAAACTCCCTAGGGTTAAGGGAATCATCCCGGAAAAGTACCTGCGTAGGTTCTTGGAAGCCTATTTCGACGATGCTGGCGACGATATGGTGTACACGGAACCCGAGGACTTTGTGCCGGAGCCGGTGGAGTTTTTGCCCAAGGTGCTTAACCCTAAAGTTAGGGTTTGGGCTCTGGAAGTGCATTCATTATGGAAGAATTTGAGTAGGAGGGTTTCCGATAATGTGAAGAAATATCCGGAGAGGCACACGCTGCTTCCCTTGCCGGAGCCTGTAATCATTCCTGGCTCGAGGTTCAAGGAGGTGTATTATTGGGATTCTTATTGGATTATCAGGTGTGTTTCTTCTTCATATGGTTTTTGCTCCATTGAAATTAATCTCGAATAAGGTCGGCTAAATAAATGGCTTCAACTGAAAAACTTATTCAAACTGAAAAATGGGACTTTAGATTGATCTATATTTGGTTTATGTTTGAGGTTTTGATGAAATGAAAAGGACACAGCAGAACCGAATCATGCTAATATATGGTGTGTATTGAGCTATGTGATTGAACATGAACGGTTGATCCAAGTTTTATAGCTTATAAACCATTTTTTATTGCAATAATCCATGTAAAATCAAATAAAATTGCTCTGAACTAAAACAATGAGAAGATTTTAACTGAGTTGAATCAATCCAAATAGTATATATAGTTTCCTATGCAAAACTGATTTTAATTTCATCTTTTGTCAGTTCAGTTTTGGTTTCCTTTTTTCCACTATGTTCAGATTAGTTTCAGATCACGAATGTTAGTTGTGCAATAACAGTCTTGTTCTTTTGATGAAAAACAGGGGATTGCTTGTAAGCAAAATGTATGACACAGCAAAAGAAATTGTGAACAACCTTGTATGGCTAGTAGATGCTTATGGTCATGTGCTAAATGGTGCAAGGGTATACTATGCTAATCGCAGGTGAAGTACTAAGAATGGATTCCAGCTTATGTTTCATTTTTTTTTACCTTATGTTTCACTTAGATATCCCCGTCTGAATTTTAAATGTCTTAACCTATGTTGATTTGCGTTTGTTATGATAGCTCTTCGGCCCTTGTCTTGCAATGTAGGTACATTAAGATTATTAAAATTTTTTTTATATGTTTAGCCGAATGTTGGTGGCTTAATGAATGTTTTGTTAGTTATTAGTAGTACAATTATATTTGTCATTATTAATATTTATTGATTTTAGCTATTATTTATATTTACTTAAGCTACAAAGGATAAAATTGTAAATTAAAAAATTTTCATTTAATAAATGTTGTTCATTCATGGCATATCAAAGTAAAATTTCAAATTCATATCATTCATTGAATAATATTGATTAATTTATTTCAGGTATTGTTAATGAAACTGTTTGTTCAAATTATATCATTTAATTCACATTGATGCATGGCAAGGTATATTATGACATTTGTTATTTTTACAGACCATGTACATTAGTTATATTGTAGTCAATATTTTTTTATTGATTGCAAAGGGTGACAAATATAATAGAAGTAAAATTATTATTTGTTCTATGAAGTGATTGCAGATTTAGAAATTAAATTTAAAATTAAATATAAAGCTATTATCATATTAATAATTTATCAAATGGTGAGCCATTAAATAAAATAGTTAATATACAGGATTTAATAGTTGAGTGTTAAATAAAACAGTTGTAGTTTTTTTAATTTGAATTGAAATTTAAAAGTAATTGTAATAATGATATTATAGAAAAAAATAATTGATGTTTATGTACCATGATCTCTTACAGCCAACCTCCACTATTGAGTTCAATGGTAATGGAGATATACACAAGGACTGGTGATTTGGAATTTGTCAGGAAGTCCCTTCCTTCATTAATGAAAGAGTATACCTTCTGGATTTCAGGTACCGCTTTGAATTTTCTTTACCTATAGTTCCTCCCAGAATATTCTTCACATGATGGATTGTCATTAATTTTATGAACAATGCTTTGGTGCCACTAAACCATTTCTCATAAAATTTGGTTCCGTACTTAGTGAAGCAATAAAGTTGCTTAAGATATTTGTATCATTATATATCTTTATATTATGCCAGAGTATTTCTAATTTTTGTATTTTCTAATATCCAAAGATATCCTTACCACTCTAAATCTTATTATTCATAAAATATGATATTTTAGGAATCCATAAAGTAATGATTCGAGATCTTCATGGACATAAGCATTCTTTGAGCCGCTATTATGCTAGGTGGAATAAACCCAGACCAGAAAGTGCAACAATTGTATGCTATGCTCTCTATTTTAGTAATTACAATAAGCCTAAAACAGGCTCTATACATTTTCCAAAAAGATTATGAAATTGATATTCTTTTATGTAGGATGTGGAGTCAGCTTCCAAGTTTCTAAATGACTCTGATAAGGAAGCTTTCTATCGAGAAGTTGCTTCAACTGCAGAGACTGGTTGGGACTTTAGCTCTCGATGGATGAGGTTTCACTTATAATTTTCTTTTCTCAAAAATTCTCATCTTGATGTTACTCTAGAAGGAATGCGTCATTGTCTTATATGTTATCTACTTGGAATGATTACATATCTTATATTGCATGCATCAACAAATACTTTTGCATAAATACTTCCAAACTCCTATTTGCATAAATAGGAGCTTAACATATAGAAGTTTCTACTTGCTGATGCTAACTTGCATTCATTACATCACAAACATTAACGAGGGATTTGAAGCTAAATCTGACATCCATATTACTATATGCTGGTAAGAAGCAGTAATTCATCCTTTTCATTTAATTTGGTCCCCATTAGAACTATGATGCACCGACACGGACACGGCGACACGGACACGGACACGGGACATGGCATTTTTTAAAAATATAGGACACGGGTGCGGCGTGGATACGACATAATAGTTTTTTAATATAATATATAGAAATTAAGGTAACATTATATTAAAAATGGCAAGCAATAATAAATCAAAGTCATGATAACTTGTTTATCTTATAACATAAAGATGTTTAGTACAAAATGTCTAATTCAACCACAAAAATATAAGCAAAAAATTATTTAGTACAATATGAAATTTCAACTACTCAATAGAGGGAATGATAGAATTCGATTCAGAGGTTGGTCTTTGTCCTTCAATATCATCATCATTGAATGTCATTGCTTCCAACTCTGGTTCATCTAAAGAAAGATTTGCAACCTCCAATAATTCCATATCATCAAGGCACTCGAATCCATCTCTAGCAACATCCCACATCTTGTTATCACCTGTCATATAAAGTGGATTTTTCCTTGATAAAAGACGAAGATTTGTATGCATATAAACTAAATCTTCAGCCTGTTGTGGAGTTATTTTATTCCTTTTCATTGATTGAATAAATGAGTATGTGCTCCAATTTCTCTCACAACAGGAAGAGGATGATACTTGACCAAGAAGTTTTATTGCTATAGTTTAAAAAAGCGGTGTTGAAGCTCCATGAATCAACCACCACTTTTTTGAATCCATCCTCCATCTATCAACCAAAGCTTCTTGATCACCAAAATCCTCTAAATATCCAAAGAACTTTGCAAGTTCTATATTAGTTTTTTTCTCTCCTTCTCATTTGGAAAATATCATTTCTAGCATATCTTTCTCATATTTGACACTTCTAAATCTTTTTATGGTGAAACACATTGAGGGTCTTCCTGAAGTCATTCTTTACTTGAATACCTTTAAATAATACAAAGCATATAAAATTATTTAATCATTTACCAAGAAATTTAAAATTAATTTAAAAATGAATACAAATATACCTTGGATTTAATGAATGTGTCAAACAATGCAAAGGTGTGGTTCCTTTGGTCCATCTATCCTTAAGAATGGTATAGACAATGCTCCAAAAACTTGAGTTTTCATTATGTGACTTTTTTTCATGTCTGTATATGATTTCTTTCACTTTTGTTAACATAGAGTCCCGCATCTCATAAATCAAATGTAGGCATGATTTATCTGTGTCAGCCTCTCTCAACATGTCATAATAAATCGGATCAGTAAAAGCCAAAATGTAATCTACATCATCCCTTCATAAATCATCTAAGACCTTTTCTTTCACATACCTTGCCTTCCCAACATCATCTTCTCGATAGCAAGACCACTTATCACTAATCATCATAGATTAAAGAGCATTTTTTATTTGTTTGAATCTTTTCAACATGATTATTACAGAGGCAAAACAAGTTTCAGCAACAGCTAACATTCTCAAATATGAGAAATAATTAAACATTGAAAGTCTCATTGAGTGGTTCATAATGAAATTTTTAATCAAAACAGCATCATTGCAACCACTGTTATCCAATGACATTCAGCATATATGATTTCATTTGTCTCTGTCTTCTTTATTGCACAAATATTTTTTAGAGCAATATTTAAAGTTTGCACAACACATGGAGTCTAGAATATATGAGGATAAGTTTTCTCCACTAACAATCCTGCAGCTCTACACACTGGTTCATTATCTATTATAACCTGCATAATATTTGAAGGCCCAATAATGACTATCACATCTTTAATCAAATTGGCAATGAAATATTTATCCTTGTATTCTCCTTCACAATTCACAGCTTTAATAAACATTGAACAATTCTCTGTAACGACCATGAAATTAATAAGTGGTATTATTTAAGGATCAGTCAAACCATCACACATCAAAGTGACTTCTTTTTCTTTCCACACATCTTTTGTTGGTTCAAGTAATGTTTCAATATGTGTTCTTTCCCTTTTCAATAATTTTGATCTTAATGCATTGTAGCCAGGTGGAACATAACCTGCAAGATTGTTATTACATACAAAAGTGAATGCATTTTTGTAATAAGAATTTCTTGCAAGGTTGAAAGGAGTCTAGCTGAAAAAAAACATTCTTTTAATTTCACCATCAAATTCCTCTCGCTGCTGCATGTTAAAAGCCTTCTCTAAAGCACTATTGGCAACTCCTTTTATTTTCTTTAAATCATATCTTTCACTTCTATATGATAATGATTGATCAACTCTAACAGATGAGGAAGAAGTGTGGGATGAACCATGGGTAGATGACAAAGACATCTCTTTAGGAAGTGCCCTTTTGATCCTAGATTCAGCGTCATCAACTTGTTTGTTCAATTCAATCAACTTTGATGTAGTAATCTTAGGACACATTTTAATTCCATGGCCAAAAATCTTAAGTAGATATGCTTTCACCCTAGAATAAGATCCTTTGTAGGTGCCATCACAATAATTGCATTTGAATGACACATTCCTTCCTCCCTCAAAAAATTTTTCTAACTTTATAACATGAATCCATAATGGCTTATCAGTTTCTACAGATGGCTCTTTTGTACCACTCCCACCAACACTAGAGCTCATTTTGCTTTTAAATTCATTGGTATAGTAGAAGAAATAAAGGCTTAATAAATTGGGTGGCATATTATAAAACAATTAAAAATTATCAAACAAAGTTAAAAAATAGTTAAAGAATTATTGTATCATGCGTTATGACTATATGACAAAAAAAAAAAAAAAATTTGCTATTATGCTAGG